TGACACCAAATAATACTTCATACCTGGGCATCTGCTTTCTCAGTCTAAGCCTCAGTTGCCCTTAGTCCCTAGCACCCCAAAAACAGTGTCATGATGAGGGACTGGGTGCACCCAGGGCTAGCTCTGACGTACCCCGGCATCGAAATGGGCTAGACCAAAATGCCATATAAGTTAAGAGCATGGTCATGGACACATTCTGTCATGATCCAACTGTAACAGTTAGATTGGTACCATGCTAGGGTTAAGAAAGACTGATCTGGCCTGAGCACTGCAATCTGAGATCTATAGTAAGATGTCCCCAGCCTAATGTATCTATTACTGTGTCCATATTAAATGACTACTAATTTTATTAAGGAGTAGAATTAAGCTGAATGTTTATATGGTTCTTGGACTAAGGGAAGGAAAAACGCACCCATAGATGGCATTTCACCTTTAGGTGGGTCTTCTTGCTGAAAGAGTTTGTCCTAGAAGTTTCCTCTGAGAGAGGGATCATACATCCATTGATTGTATGACCTCGCCTATGTGTAATTGCTACCCCAACTCCCTCATGATTTGGGAGATAATTAATGCTATAAGATTTGGCAGGGGAAAAAATCAAGAAAGAATCTGAGAGTGAAAATCCAAGAGAAATGAAGGAGATTCATGGAAGGAGAATCAGAGGAGAACTGAGACGAGATTGGAAGAAACTGCAATTGATACCAACCAGCCTGGCCCTCATTCTCTCCATCATCGACACATGGCCGTCAGCTGGGTCGATTTGACACTAAAAGAGTCAAATTTCTGGTCCTTATAAATCCCCTAATCTTGGGGCTGGAGAGATAGCAGAGCAAGTAGTGCGTTTGCCTTGCACGCGCCCAACCAAGGTTCGATTCCCAGCATCCCATATGGTCCCCTGAGCATTTCCAGGAGTAACTCCTGAGTGCAAAGCCGCGAATAATCCCTGTGCATCACCAGGTGTGATCCAAAAAAGAAAAAATAATCCCTTATTTTTGATCTATCCCTGCTACAGAATCTCACAGTTTCTCCTGAATCCCTATTGTACTTTCACCATTGTTTGTGCATATATATGTGTAAACATAAGTGTGACTTTGTGTGATTTTTGTTTCGAGGCCACAACCGGCAGATTCAGGGCTTACTCCTAGCTCTACACGCAGGAATCACTCTAGTACAGATCATATGGGATGCAGGGGATAGAACCTGGGTCAATTGCTTGGATGCTTAAGTCCTTACTCACTGTACTATGGCTCCGGCCCTAAGTAAATGTGCTCCTAACACACCCAGTGGGATTTTTGAGCAAATGTCCTGACTCCTGGAAAACCAAAAGTTTCTTGCTTAAAAAAACAAAATCCTTTACCCTGGTCGGATTCTAGTTCTAAACAATTTAGGTTTAACATTGGTTCATTTCTCCTCTGCTACAAGGAGCTTAGGCTTACTGAGTAACACCCATCCCAATCACTCCCATTGCCTTAGTATTCATCTTTAAATTCCCTGTGCTCCACTTCCCCTATACATTAATCACTCATTTCCCATAACCACAACCTGTGAATTGTAAAGTCAGTTTCTTCAGAGATCTCTGGATTTTGTATTTGGAAGTGAAATATTGACATTCTCTTTCCTTTATATCCTCCAGAGTTTACTTTAGACAAATATTCTTTTCTGATCCTGGACAAGGACCAGTGCAGTCCCAAGTTAGGAAGATTGTGCTGGGAGGATTGGGATGGCCATGCCCCCAGCCCTCAGCTTTGTATAGACAAAGGAAGGCAATATTATGCTTTTGTAACTTCAAAGTTAATTGACTGCAGATACTATATACTCCTGGGCATTGTCATGTTTATGAGACTTAAGCCTCAGCTGCCCTTTGTTCTTAGAACCCCAAAAGCAAGAGACGGGATGGACCCAGGATAGCTGTGAGTTACCCTGACATTGAAAATGGACAGGAAAGCACAATAACAAATTCCATTATGACACAAACATAAGCAACTGGATAAGGATCCTGTTGTGGTTAGAAAGGATTAACCTGTCCTGGGGAGTGTATTCTGGGAGCTATAGGAAATATCCCCAATGGAGACACCCTATAAACTTAATAGATCTCTTACTGTGTCCATTCACAATGAACAGAAAGAGTAACTGTAAATTTAAGATGACTGTTTCAATGAATATTAACTAAGCAAAGAAAAATATGTCCTTAGAGAAAATCCTGCCCTTGAGCTGATCTCACTTTGAGTTAGATTCTTGGCCAAGAAGTTTCCCCTGAGGGAAGGGCTTTACATACTCTGATTGTACAACCATATCTCTGGTATTTGCTACCCCTAACTCTGTGGGATGCGCTGGAGAATAAAAATTGTGGAAGACAGGTTAGGAGCGGAAATGAGGAGCAGTGGGAGACTGGTATATGTACTAAGGAAAACGGAATAAAGAGAAACTCATCACAGTGAGTCCACAACGTAAAATGTTGAGGTGCGGTGAGGTGTTGGTGGCCCAGCGCTGCCTCCACACCTCCAGAACACTTCCCAACAGAGACAGAGAGGTAGGGAGACAGAAAATCACAGCCTTATGGTGAAAATGGCCTCTTTATTGCAGAACAGCTACCTAGTCATGTGCTTGTCCAGATGACAGGCGTGGGCAGAGTGGGCACCTGGGTGGGGAGGGAATACGGGAACATGGGTGGAGGGAAGCTGATGCAGGAATTGGTGTTCAATTATTCTAAACCTAATTACAACTATCAATAACTTTTAAAATACTGGCACTTTAATGAAAACTTTAAAAAACAATACAATAAAATAAATTTCCAGATTTCAGCACCCACTGAGGTTAAAGACCCTCTAGTCCCAGCATTAGGCTCCGATATTTTTCCTGTGATGCTGAGACCATAGATGTGGTTGTGGGGATGGAGCCGGACCCCACCTTTCAAGTCGCATGCTCAGTTCACTGAGCACTCAATGGCATAATAATTTCAACAAGAGAATCTTACAGCACACTTGTATGCAATATCCCTGTTCCTAAAGAAATTGTTGTAATGCCACATCCTGAAACTGTGATTTGAGTTCTGAAATCAAACAAAATGCACAATGAGAATTAGTCCAATGTTGAATGGAATGCAGTTGAATGACCAAACAGGTGGAGGACATCTCCAGAGTTCTCACAGTACGAGCAAGCCTACAGAAAGGGAAAATCTGCGGGAAGTGTTACTGGGAGGAGCTCGGCAATCCCCCAGAAAAGCCTTTTGTGTTTTGTTTTTAATCAGACCCAGTGATGCTTGGGATACCATAGGGGATGCTGGACATTGAAGGTAGGCGGCATCTGTAAGGCGAGCACCCTCTGTGATGCACTGCTGTTCTGGTCCTAATTAACTTCACTATGGGCTCACAGTCACAATTTAACATACACACAATAAAACAATTTTTGGTGCGTATAAGTGTACAACAGGTAGGCATTTGCCTAGCATGTGGCTGACAGGGTTTGATCCTTGAACACTGCTAAAAGCAACTTACAAGAACCACCAGAAATAACTGCTGAGGATCCCCAGGCCCCATAACAAATGAAAACTCAATTTCATCCCATATTCATAAAACCATGACAATGATCCAAAGGCAAAGATATGCATGGTGTTAGATTGACTGAGTGGGGTCCAGAAAGGGTACCCTACCCTTTAGTTGTACAGTCTGGCCAGTTATACAGCGAGGAACACAAGGGCCTTGAAACACATGGAGTACACGACATACCTGACAGATAAGGAAGAATCACAAGAAAGTCAAGAAAGCAAAGCACTGGATCTCTCCGTAATGAACAGCTCCGGGGAGAAGACACCCCTACCCCATGCCATACCCCCACATCACAAGATCTAGGGATGAGAAGGGGACGCTCAATGTCCAATGAGCAATGAAAAGATGTTGTGGACTGGAGGACTCCTGGGTTGGCCACATGTAAGGTAAGGATCCTACTTGCTCTACTATTGCTCTGGCCATTTCTAAATAAATGGGAGAAAACGGGAAAAAATGGGAGAGCACTGAGAAAGCTTTCAGGTTTAAGTCTCGGTCATACAATGAAACACCCGTCCCTTCATCGTGCCCATTTTCCACCACAAAAACCCAAGTATAACGCCATTCCACAGCCTTCCTCTACCTGTGGGCAGATATTTTCCACATTCTTCTCTCTAGTTTGATTACATTCAATATTTTGACACAAGACCCACCATTATTATTTGGGATTTTACTCCAACACTCAGTTCTGCCGAAAACGCAACAGTAGACAATTCTTTTTCGATTGCTGGTTATAAATAACATATGATTTTGGAATTCTGAAATCTTAAGAACTAAATCTGGAGGGATTTCTGCAAAAATCTGCTGGATTCCGAGATTTTTTCCTGAGTCTCTGGGATTATGGCCATTAAACAGTTTTATCACGAGCCAGAGAGGCGGTTCATGGGAATGACTTAGGCTCTTGTTGGGGTGGGGAGGAATTGGCCGGCTCCACCCCCATCCTGCGAGGCCCCATGTATCTTCGTGAATGTGGGCCAAACCTGACTTTCCAAAGGCCTTTGGAGGATGGAAGCCACCGAGCTGCCAAGGGGGAACAGTTGGGGGGACAGCACCAATTCCCCCTGGGGTGGACCAGGGACAGTAACCTACTGCAGGGTCCAGACGCATTTCTGCTAAAAGGCACTGGGTTTCGAGATTTGCCTCTGAATCTCTGGGATCATGGCCATTACTCACCTTGATCACAAGCCATAGAGGTCAATCGTAGGCGCCAGACAACTTGGGGTTTCGTTGGGGCGGGGGGGAAAGGGCCGGCTCCACCACCATCCCATTAGGCCCTGCATGTTTCCTCACTGCAGTCCCAAACATAACCATCCAGAATCCCTTAGAGATGGTGGCCACTGAGCCGCCAGGCACAAAATCTATTCCCACCTGAAACACCCAGCTTTGTAACCTACTGTGGGGACAAGACACATTTCTGCTAAAAGCCACTGGGTTCCGGGATTTGTTTCTGAGACTCTGGCATCATGGCTGTTAAACAGAGTGACCAAGAGCCAAAGAGTCTGTACATGGGCAGCGACTCGGGGTCTCATTGAGGTGGGGAGGAAAGTGCAGAGTCCACCCCAATCCCATGAGGTCCCGAATGTCTTGTCACTGCAGGCCCAAACCTGTCTGTCCAATGTCCTCTGGAAGATGGTGGCCACCGAGCCACCAAGTGGGATCAGGCGGAGAGACACACTCTTTCCCCCTTGTGGTGGTCTGTCGCCGATAGCTCATTGTGGGAACAGGGCACATCTCTGCAAAAAGCCGCTGGGTTCTGAGATTTGTCTCTGAGTGTCTGGGATCATAGCCTTTAAGAAGTTTGATCAGGAACCAGAGAGACCTTGCCTCCAATTATATAGCTGAGCCGGAAATGGTTTGTTGGTGTGTCTCGCACATACCTAACTTTTGGCCGTTTACTTTCTTGGAAGACTTTGCCCAAAGTTTTTGGAGTCTGGCCAAAGGCACAGCAGCAATTTTGGATTATCTGGAAATCTGATGGTGCCATCAGGCTGCTGATGCACTCGCCTTACATGCAGATTGACCTGCTGGCAGTACCATACTCCCAGGAAGTAGAAATTCTATATATGGGAAAAAACACCAATAGTGAGGTTGGATTCACTGTGAAGCGACTAGGATGCTTACCTTACTGATCCAGGTCAAACCTCCCCATCCCATGGGAACCCAGCAGCACCACAGAACAATTCCCAAGATGCAGAACCAGAAGTAATCATTGAGCATCAAAGAATCCCTTCCAACTCTTCTGAATATAAAAAAGCTATTAAAATGAATCCAAGGAGGGGCTGAAGTGATAGCAGAGTGGGTAGGACGTTTGACTTGCACGTGACCAACCCGGGTTTGAATCCCAGCAACAGTATGGTCCCCTGAGCTTTACCAGGAGTAATTCCTGAGTGCATAAGTCAGGAGAAACCCATATGAAACGCTGGGTGTGACCCAAAAAGCAAAAAAAAAATATAATCAAAAGAGTACATTTTCAGAGACAAATACCTCTCACTTGTCCATACACGCCCCAAGGTCCCAAACTCAGCACGAAGCCAATGAAAATGACCGACCTCAAAAGTGTCCCTTTCTTTGGGGGCTTCCAGTGAACACATCTGGAGTTTCAATAAGTGTTATGTCCAGTCCAAAGGTTCCAAACAGGGTCCTTTGCAGTCTCGAGTAGGGAGAAATGAGAAGGCCAAGACCCTCACTCTCTGCTGGCTCCTCACACTAAGGCCTGAAGTCCATGTGCCCACCTTGCAGTACCATCTTGGACCTGGATGTGATCGTGGCTGCAGGGGCCCTTAGGATAACGCACCCTGACCCTTGACACCTGTACCACAGCCCCCAATGCACCCCTCAAAATCCCCATATCCCCTAAAGCCTGGATATCCAGAACAAGTAAGAAACAAGTGTGAAAGCGCCCTACAGGCTGGCGTGACCTGGCGCTCAAGTTCCCAAACCGGGATTTTCAGGGTGCGCAAGCATTCCAAATCCTAACACAGGAAAGACTGAAGAATGAAGGTTTACCTATTTTTCCATTTTCAAAGTATTCAATGTTGCATCTTGGTTGATTTCTTCCATAATTCCCGATAACCAGCCCCTCTGGGCCAAGCCAGAAGCATAGCAATCAATAACAGAGAAGTGAGTCATGACAGCTCTGAGCAGGGGGGTGTTTCTGTACCTGTTCATTCAGTCACCTTCCTCCTTATTTTCATCACCAGGACCCATTATTTACAAGTTAACACACAAGCAATTCCAAGCACTAGAATGCTAACATAGGTGCAGCCCGGGTGAAAATTAGCAGGTAACTTTCAAGGACATGAGAAGCCTGTCCCAAGCAGGCAGGCTTACTTCCCTCTTAACTGTACTCTTTTAACACCCTTGACCATCGTGTCCAAAGGAAACTTGCTTGACTGACTTGTCCTGCTCTGTCCTTAGAGACTGTTATTAAGGGATCAAGTAATCCAGTTGGAACTTTTATATGTTTATTAAGGTGTGAGGGGTACATGAAGCCCTTCCCACATTCATGAGATATATGCAGTTTGTCTCCGGTATGAACTCTCACATACTGAGTAAGAGAACAGCACCAAATGAAGGCCTTCCCAAAAGACTGACACTGATAAGGTTTCCCTCCACTGTGAATATTCCTGTACTTAGCAAGGATTCAGAATGGCAGAAGGCCTTCCCACATTCCTCGCATATAAAAGGTTTTCCTCTCGCATGAATGCTCCTATGTACACTAAATCTGAGGCTTGTCAAAAGGCCTTTCCAGACTTCTTATATGTATAGGATTTCTCTCCAGTGTGTATTCTCCTATGTGCATTAAGTATTGAGGTCACAGCAAAGGCCTTCCCACATTCCTTACATATACAGTTTCTCTCCAGTGAATTCTCCTATGTACACTAAGGCTTGGTAAAGGTAAAGGCCCTCCTGTTGATCGTCGATTTGCTCGAGCGGGCCCAGTAACGTCTCCATTGGAGACTTTCGTTGTTACTCTGTTTGGTATATCGAATACTCTCGGTAGCTTGCCGGGCTCTCCGAGAGGGGCGGAAGAATCGAACTCGGGTCGGCCATGTTGGGCGCGTGTAAGGCGAACGCCCTACCACTGTGCTATCAGCGGGTATGGCGTTTGCCTTGCACGTGGCCAACATGGCCGACCCGATTTCGATTCCTCTGCCTCTCTCGGAGAGCGCGGCAAGCTACCGAGAGTATTCGATATGCCAGACACAGTAACAACAAAGTCTCCAGTGGACACATTACTGGGGCCGCTCGAGCAAATTGATGATCAACGGGAGGGCCTTTACATTTACCTTTACACTAAGACTTGAGGCTTCAGCAAAGGACTTCCCGCATTCCTTACATATATACGGTTTCTGTCCACTGTAAATTCTCCTATGTACAGTCAATTGTGAGGATGAAGTAAAGACCTTTCCGCACTCTAGACATATCTAAGACTTCTATCTGGTATGAATTCTCATGTGTCGAGTAAGGGAAGAGAACCATGTGAATGCCTTCCCGCATGTCTGACACTGATGAGGTTTCTCTCTGAGATGAATTTTCATATGTGCAGTAAGTCTTGAGTCTCCAGGAAAGGTCTTTCCACATTCCTTACAAATATATGGTTTCTCTCCAGTGTGAATTTTCCTATGTTGATGAAGTGTTGAGGCTGCAGCAAAGGCCTTCCCACATTCATTACATATATACGGTTTCTCTCCAGTGTGAATTCTTCTATGTATACTGAGGCCTGAGGATTGAGTAAAGGCCTTTCCACATTCCTTACATATATACAGTTTCTCTCCAGTGTGAATTCTCCTATGTACAATAAGTCTTGAGGGTCTAACAAATGCCTTTCCACATTCCTTACATATATACGGTTTCTCTCCAGTGTGAATTCTCCTATGTTCACTAAGAGTTGAGGCTTTCGCAAAGGCCTTCCCACATTCCTTACATATACAGGGTTTCACTCCAGTGTGAATTCTCCTATGTACACGAAGTCTTGAGGATTCAGGAAAGGCCTTCCCACATTCCTTACATATATACGGTTTCTCTCCAGTGTGAATTCTCCTATGTACAGTAAAGTTTGAAGGTCTAGCAAAGGCCTTCCCACATTCCTTACATATATATGGTTTCTCTCCAGTGTGAGTTCTCCTATGTATAATGAGGCCTGAGGATTGAGTAAAGGCCTTTCCACATTCCTTACATATATATGGTTTCTCTCCAGTGTGAATTCTCCTATGTTTACTGAGGCCTGAGGATTGAGTAAAGGCCTTTCGACATTCCTTACATATATACGGTTTATCTCCAGTGTGAATACTACTATGTATAATGAGGCCTGAGGATCGAGTAAAGGCATTATCACACTCCTGACATATATATGGATTCTCTCCACTATGAGTTTTCATAGGTCTATTAAGATTAGAGGTCTGAATAAAGGCCTTCCCACATGTGTGACATTCACAAGGTTTCTCTCCTGTATGAATTATCCTATGCATAATAAGATGTGATGATTGATCTAAGGCCTTCCCACATGCTTCACCTGCAAAAGGTTTCGCTCCTGAATTTATATTCATATGGTCATGATGGAGTAACCCTTGACTCAAACTTTGTTCTCGAGGCTGACTTTTCTGGGGATTCTGTCCACTGTGGTTTTCTAAGGGAACACCACAGTGCTGAGAACATGGGGAGGCTCCCCCACATTCCTTACATGTAGATGGGTTCTGCTCACGGTGATTGTGGTTGAGGGTATGTTGCTGTGATGGACACACTATAAACAGTGCTCCTCTCACTAGCAGGTGCCCCACTGGGGAACTTTGTGCCTGTGATCTGAGAATAACACACTTCAAGGAACTTTTTCCAGGAGAGGGCTTCTTCAGAGTGAGGTAGCTCTCGCCATTCTTATCACCCTCAGAAGACATCCCGCCTGTCTCGGCGTCCTCATGGGGTTGAGGGCAGGATTGCTCACTCAAGACATTATCACACAGTGCAGGATCAGAGACATTCCACTCGGTGTGGCAGCTTTCCTGTGGAACAACAGAGGTTTCGAATTATTCACTTATTCACTGAGTCTTCCTGTCACAAAACTGAACCCTTCAGATGTGGTTTCACACATATGCACCACACAAATGCAATTACCGACATATGAATTGTCTTACTATAGAACAATTTCATGTTACTGTAAATTGGACACACAAAATTGATGGATGCAGTGTCAGTAAATTCTGTGAATTTCCCCCCTTTAAATTAATGAAGGGATACAACTGGATATAATTCCTTCTATAGAAAATGGATGTATCCATTTCAAGAGAAAATGAAATAGATCCACATGTGGGTTTGGTTAAAGTTCAGTGTGGAACCTGTGATGCAGGGGTGAAGACAATGCTGCATCGTCACACAGTTGAGACAGACCATGTGGCCATTGCAAAGCTCTCACCACAAGTTTTGGCTTTCAGGATCAATGAAGTTTTTTGTTCTTTCTGTTCTGTAGTTTCTATTTATTGGGGGGTTGGGTGGGTGGAGCGGCACACCATGCATTATCTAGGATCAGTTCTATGGGTCTATGGTGTCTATAAGTCGTGCTGGGTAAGGACCATCCATCTCTGTGCAAAGAAAGTATATTTCTCACTGCACCATCTGTATGGCGCACAAATTAGCTTTCTAAACAACTACCACAGTCAAATCAATCAAAACTCACAGTATTTTTTATACATGGTTGATTTCAGCACCTAGTGAAGCTAAGGGTCCTCTACTCCAAGCATCAGGCTTTGGAATTCCTCCCTATGAATCCCAGCCTTCCACCTTTACAATCACATACTTGGTCCACTCCTGCTGGCATAATATTTATTCTGTATTCCTGAATCTTACCAACTCACTCGTACTTGCTGACCCCATTCCCAAATCAAAGTGCTGTACTGCCAAATCCAGAAGTCGGGGTTTCAGTTCTGAAACTGAAGAGATCATGCAATTCACACGTTACACATGTCACAAAATGTAGCAAAATGACGCCATGTAGTTAAGAGTACATCTCTGTGGTTCTCAAAGTTCAAAGAGTCCCACGCTAAACAAAAGATTCGGATAGTGGAAAACTGTGAGGATCTTGGCAATTCTACACTAGGTTATGTTTTTGTTTTTGAGCAGACCTGGTGATGTTCGGGGAACCAGGTTATTGAACAGATTATTTAACAGGTCACATTCAGGAACTGCAAGGTGCTCCCTGATGTACTCCAAACTAGCTCTGTTATGGTCTTATTTATTCGAAAGCCATGGAAGCAAATTACAGGATCATTCTGTGATTACCAGTCCAGGGAAATGAAGAGCAGCTTGAGTGAGGCACAGACCCAAGGATCCAGGAGACAAAGTCCCTGGTCTCAGTAGCGTGTTTCCTACATGCTTAGGGCACCCATACACTGCACAGGGCCTGAGCCAGGAAGGGTCCTCAGACACTCACCCACACACACGCCTCTCCTACCCAACCTCAGAGCTCCTTCTTCCAGCCAGGAGATCACCGCAGGCTTCATCCCAGAGTGCCCTGCCCCAACAGAGACAGAGGCATGGATAAGTCACAGGGAAAAGGTGACAGGTAAATGCCCATGTTTTCCTGATATAACTGGGCAAATATCTGAAAGGCATGAACAGAATGTCCATTTCCAAAATTCCACATATTTCTAGTTATTCGAGAGGTAAGACCCAAGAAAATATCACAAATACTCTAGACCTGGCCATGTATATGGCCGACAGGGGGTTGATCAGCACAGTATGTTGTTGGTTTTTGTCTTGTTTGTGGTCTCACCTGGCAATGATCAGGAGTGACTCCGGACTCTGTATTCAGAAATCACTGCTGCTGGTGCTCGGGGATGACATGTGATGCCGGGGATTTAACCCACATGCGCCGCTTGCAAGAAAATCACTTTCCTCCCTGTACTGTCTTTCTAGGCCCAGCAGCACATGGAGTTTCCTGAGCCCCTCATGAACTCATCACAAATTTCAGTAAAACTAAGTGCATAATAAATCTGGAAATGGCCACGGGTGGCAAGACACGCTTATTTTTTAAGCTGAAAAATGTATCCAGAAAGAGAGCACAGCAGGTGTTTCTCACGGCTAATCCCGTTGCGATACCCGATATCACCGAGGGTCCCACATTCCAGCAAGGAGTGATCCCTGAGTGCAGAGTCCAGGAGCAAACCCTAAGTCCTGCTGCAGTCTCACAAGAGCCATTAGAAGTAAATCTAAGCACTGAAATAGGGCAGCATCTAATGAGTTGAGAGACGAGATATAAAATCCCCTGTGGTGGAAGAGAGATAGTACAGCACATAGGACAGAAACGCTGCACACCATGTGCATTTGATCCCAGCCAGCCCATATGGTCTTGGAACAAGGCCAGGTGTGGATCCTGAATACACAGGCAGGAATAATCCCTAATTCCTGAGGAAAAAAGAAAATGCAAAAACCATCTGACTTGAGTGACTGGTGCAAAAGTACTGGGGGGTGAGGCACCAACAGTTTAGCTTGCCAAGAAGTTTCAATATACGGTTCCCCATGGCCCCTGAACACTCTTAGGAGTCATCCATTAGCACAGAGCGAAAGGAACTGTGGACTGTGCCCCCCAAACAAAGGCAACAGCAAAACCAATTAAACACACAAAATTTCGTGTAGTACACAAAGTAAATTGATGCACCAATGAATGGAACTATTTAAAAGGACCTGAGCGATAACTGGGCAGATAGGGATCTTCCCATGGACACAGTCGAAAACGGTTGATCTGAATCACCCCATAGGGTCCAGCTACCCCACAAGAGTAATTCCTGAAGACAAAGCTGAGAGTAAGCCCTGAGTATCCACAGGTTAACCCTAAAAAAAAGAGGGAGGGAAGAGCTACTGCATGGCTGTCCAACATCCCAGCCCGTCACAGAGTTACTGTTGGACACACGGCTGCCGCCCAACCCCAGGGAGCCCACGCGGGTCTGTTCAGACATGGTGGCTCCACACTGCTCTCACCGACAGCCTGCAGATGCTGGTATGTCTCCAGCATTACGTCCCTGTAGAGCTTCAGCTGAGAGGCCTCCAGGCATGACCATTCCTCCCGGGTGAAGTTCACAGCCACGTCATGGAAGGTCACTGCGTCCTGAGTCAGCACACGGAGAGTGTGGGAGTCAGAGTCTATCTTAGCCTCATTACCACTACTGTGAGGCCAGGACCCAGGGTCCTATATTGTCGTTGGGCCTCTCTCCTCCGAATGAACTAGCCCCCATGCACACGCATTGTTGACGGGTCCCAGAAATCACATAAGGCAGCTGGATCTGCTAAAGTGGGAGGACGTTATACAGAAGGTTCTTGGATGTATCTGCCTTTCCTGGTAGCCCAGGGCCAATTCGAGCACCACTGGTCCAGTGAGCACTGTGGAGAGGATCACCTGAACACAGACTTGTACGATCCAAAAGACTATCCCTGGGTGTAGCAAAAACCACTGCACGCTCACCACTGCAATCCCACAGCACATGGCCACTAGGATTGAGAACTCGACATATAGACAACTTCTCAGAGCAGTGCATGGCATGTGTGCCTGTAGGAACTCACTGCTCAGGACTGCCCCAAATCCTGTTCAAAGAAGGTAGAATTTTCTTGACCCCAACATTTCTACTGGCCTCAGAGATCCTTGGCTCTTTCTCCTTGGGATCACCGCATGCCCAGAAATCCACACACAAGATTATGTGAACGTAAGACTATATGACCGAGCAGGTAGTCTCTCCAAAGTAGGAAAGACAAAACAGGAGAAAAGCAAGTCTGGGGGCCCAAGTCACTGTAGTTGCCAGGGCGCAAACGGGGCCAGTCCACCCCAGGGTGCTCTGAGGCCAGTCAGTTTTGAATCCAGAGCACAGAGTCAAGAGTACAGCTGATGACAAAAACAATGCAAAAGAAACCGAAGCACCAGGTTGGCGTAACACGCCAGCTATTCCGGGGACAGCAGGTAGGACTGGCGATCCCCAACATCCCATATGGTCCCACAAGCACTGCCAGAGGCAATGCAAGAGTGCAGCACAAGGAATGATTGCGAGAATCCTTGCTCTGCCACCCCTAATAAAACAGAAAACCCAAGATGAAACCTTTGGACCTCCAGCATCCCTTTGGTGACCTAGACCTGTCAGGAATGAGCATTGAGCACTGAGCTTTGAGTACTCCTCATGCACCACTGGGTCGACCCCAAAGCTAAATAAAACAAAACAAACATACACAAAAGCAGCTTCAAACAGCAGAATGGGACGGTCCTATCTGAAGTCTCATCTTGGAATCCGTCTGAAAGAAACTCAAATAGATGACCCAGGAAGCCTGGGCACTCCTGGTTCTACCTCATGTCATTCTATCCATCTACTAGTACCTGGGAACGGTTTATCAGAAGCCGCGTCACCATCTTCTACTGGCACTATTGTTCTGAGAATCAGCAGGAGGCTCCGTGCAAAGATCTGGAGAAGTCAGAACAGTGAGCACCAGAGAGGAGCACCTCCTCCCACTTCTGAGCTCAGACCAGCCACACCCTCGGGCACAGCCTCACTATTCCACCTCTAGGAGACAATGGCAGAAGCTCCTTTCTCCACTGGGGTTTCAAATTTTGTTGGCATCTGTGCTGCACTTCAGGAGAGGAGCCTGGGCCCAGGCTACAGGGGAGGAAAAGACAGTCTTCTCTGATCCCTGGATTCTTCTCTGGCTCCCACAGGAAAGTCCCTATAGGCCCTGCCAGGGGCCGGCTCTCAGCCCAGAAGCTCCCGAGTACTAGCGCCCCCTGCAGGCTGGCAGCAGTGCTGCTCCCTGGGAATCGTAGCCTGGAATGTGGCTCCACCATTTGACTTAGAGTGGACAAACCTTCGACACTTGCTTACAGGGTGGACAAGGACATGCACCTCGACACTCTGTCCCGGGGACCTCAGTTTTACCACAATGGCAGGTGTCGTCTTCTCAGGGAGAGATAAAGAGTCAGGGGTGCTTTTAAGCTTGATGTGAGGGAGCTGAAATTCATGAACCTAAAAAAGATATACAAGTATTGTGGTTAGATGGCAATAATGTGAATTGGGCGCTTGACTAGATGAACCGATAAATCCTCTGCATCCCATATGGCCCCTAGCAGCGCCAGGGACAATACCTGAGCTTAGAGACTCGAGTAACTCATGAGCATCTCTGGGTATGTGCCCTCTCTCCCCCCTAAAATATAAAGAACCAAAAATAGCCCCCCCAAATACATTTTCATTGGCAAACCTCAGCCACCTGCAGGCCCCCTTCCCCCTTACATACCCCGCATGATCGCGGCTCTCACGGCAGACAATGAAACTGACCAGCAACAGGTCTCCTGCCATTAGCTTGAGGGGCTGAAGCTCTGCCCCTCAAATCTGGAGATTCTACAGTAGCAAGCTTAGGGCTGATGGTTCAAACATAGGACTGCTGGTACGGTTGGAACAGCCAAGCCCTCAGATGATTCCCGCTTTCAGCCACTGTTGCCCCATCCCGGAGCTGGAGACGATCGTGGCCAAAGTGGCACCCTAGAATCACGATCTCAAAACTGTCACTCCTGAACCCTGAGACAGCCCCCACTGCATCCCCGTAAAATCTCCACCACACCTCACGATCCACCTGGATGTTGGCGAACAAGTGAAAAACCAGCGCAAAATTGCCCCCAAGTTGGCTCAGCCGCTCGGCTCAGAGTGTGGAAACGGGAAGGCGCAGGGTGCTCACAGGAGGTTGCTTGAGTCCTGCAACTAAATCCTTCTTCGGAGTCCACCTTCCAGGATGGGGCGCAAATTTACTTGTCCCTTGCCAAGTGAGCACTACAGCCCCAGTGTCTGATTCAGGGATGGAAAATGAACCATGACATTTATAACATCACTTATGACATCACTTCCATTTCCATTAGGTACCTTAAAGAGTCAGAGTCTAGGCACTGAGGACCTTTTTGCCACCCAGGTGAATCTGTGCTGCAAAGGGGATGGACTCGAATAAAGGAGTGGAGAGGCAAATGCTGGACTGGTCGTACGGAGAAGTTCCCTGATCCTGCATTGTTACCTAACATCGGACCAATGATATCTAAACACAGAATGTTACCCTGACTCTTGTCAAATGATCCCTGAGCTCAGAGACAAGAGGAAACACTGAGCACTGTAGGCTGTGGTGAAAAATATAACAAGAAAAAAGGCAAATTCTACTGAAGGGGGAAAAATGATGAAACATTAAAAGAGTCAATTTTCTGGTCCTTAAAAATCCCCTATTCTTGCGGCTGGAGACATAACACAGTGGGTAGGGCGTTTGCCTTACACGCGGCCAACCCGGGTTCGATTCCCAGCATCCCATATGGTCCCCTTAACATTGCCAGGAATAACTCCTGAGTGCAAAGCCAGGAGTATTCCCTGTGCATAGCCAGGTGTGACCCAAAAAAGGAAAAAAAATCCTCTATTTTGATCTATCTCTGCTACAGAAACTCACAGTTTCTCCTGAATCCCTATTGTTCTATCACCATTGTTTGTGCATATATATGTGTATATATAACTGTGACTTTGTGTGATTTTTGTTTCGGGGCCACAACCGGCAGATTCAGGGCTTACTCCTAGCTCTACACACAGGAATCATTCTGGTACAGACCATATGGGATTCAGGGGATAGAACCTGGGTCGACTGCTTGGATGGTTAAGTCCTTACTCTCTGTACTATGGCTTCGGCCCTTAGTAAATGTGCTCCTAGCACACCCAGTGAGATTCCTGAGCAAATGGCCTTGCTCCTGGAAAAACAAAACTTTCTTGCTAAAAAAAAACAAAACCCTCTACCCTGGTTGGATTCTAATTCTAAATAATTTAGGTTTAACATTAGTTCATCATTTCTCCTCTGCTACAAGGAGCTGAGGCTTACTGAGTAACACCCATCCCAATCACTCCCATTTCCTTAGTATACATCTTTAACTTCCCCGTGCTCTGCTTCCCCTATATGTTAATCACCCATTTCCCATAACCACAACCTGTGAATTGTAAAGTTAGAGTCTTCAGAGATCTCTGGATTTTGTATTTGGAAGTGAAATGTTGACTCTCTCTTTCCTTTATATCCTCTGCAGTTTACTTTAGACAAATATCACTTTTTGATCCTGGACAAGGACCAGTGCAGTCCCAGGTTGGGAAGATTGTGCTGGGAGGATAATTCCCTGGTCAGAGAGGCTCATTTTTTCTCGTTTCCAGCATCCCATACGGTCCCCCAAGAACAGCCAGGAGTAATCCCTGAGTGCAGAGCCAGGAGTAACTCCTGTGCATCTCTGGGTTTGACCAAAAAAAAAAAAAACAAAACAAAAAAAGGCAAGAGAAAACAAAAAGAGTGACAGTGATAATTGTGATCGAGGGGTGGTTTTTGTACCCATTCACTTAGTTCCTATTTAATCAGTTTTCACCTGAATTCCATCATCAAGATGCATTATTTACAGGGGCAAGAGCAATAGCACAGCGGGTAGGGCGTTTTCTTTGCATGCAGCCGACCCAGGTTCGATTCCCAGCATCCCATATGGTTCCCCGAGTACAGCCAGGAGTGATTCCTGAGTGAAAAGCCAGGAGTAACCCCTGAGCATCTCCGGGTATGACCCAAAAAAAGAAAAAAAAAGGACACATTATTTACAGGTTAACATACACATCAAGTTCAAGTGCTGGGACACTGGCATAGGAAATAGTAATCATTTCTATAATTATTATGGTTTGCTATATAAGGCAACTCAGGAGGTTAATTCAGGTTCATAAGGAACTCAGGCCTTAGTAGGCATATGAAAATACACAGTGGCAAGAACTCTTAAGAGTGTACAGAATGGGAAAAAATTTGTGTTTCCCTGAACTGCAATCATCAGCAATTCCCTTTCTCTCATAGTACTGAAGTCACCAGTTTAATTTGAACTTGAGAACTGTAACATAAAGAATGAACTAGGAGTGTATATTTAAGATATCAAAAGGTTGAAGCAGAGTGTTTGCCGTAGGATCCCCCAAGCACCACACTCCCAGAGTAATTCCTGAGTGCATATGCAGGAGAAACCCCTGAGCATCACCCAGGTGGGAAACAAAAATGAAAAAAAAAATGGTCAAAGGGCAAGCCCTGAGGAACCCAGAGATAATGGAGGCATTGTGTATCCCACCCAAGGCCTGGGGGAGATTAAATGATGCATTCAAGGTAAATTGAAATTCAGATTTTAGGGACTGCTGGGTGTTTGTCTTGCAGGGGATGATTGGATATGATCCCTTTCCCTCCCAGGCCCACCAGGAGTGATCCTGCCTGTGGAGCCAGAAGTAACTCCTGGGCTTTTCTGGTTGTGCCTTACCCCCACCCCTACAAAAAAGTACTTGTTTTGTGTATTGAACAGAAAGCGCTATGTCAGGGGGATCAGTTTTATAAATGACAGATGTGAAAAATTTCAGTGATCCCTGTGATCAAGGCTTTCTCTGCCTGTAGATGGTTTTTCTGGGCTCACCCCCAGTATCACATGGTCTCCTGGTACCACAGGGAGTAATCAGCTACCTGGGCAGCACTGGGAGCCTTAGGATTTGCATCTTTGGGGAGGGAGACACAGTTAGTAGTGCTCAGGGCTTATTTATTCCTGCCTTTGCACTCAGGCGTCGCTCCTCTGGGGCCAGGGTTGAGGTCTCCTAATGTCCTAATGTCCAGCACCTCCTAATGGTTTGGAGGGAATTGATGTAGGCATGCAGGCAGATAGAGAAGGTTCCCCTTCCAAGGAAAAGGCAATAAATTTCCTGGGAATAGCTCTGAAGTTGTGAAGGCCAACCTTGCAAAAAACAGGAATTAAGGCCTGATCAGGCCCTCACCTATGGCCAGCAACAGACCCAGAGAAGCTCCTGCTGAAACAAAAGGCCAGAAAAGGAATTTCAAAGATCATCACCACTCCCAACCTGCCTAGGCAACCTCCTTAGCAACGGGACTTTGACCTAGGTAAAAGCCTAGATTGGATTCCCTTCTGTTCCAGGGAGACCACTCATTGGCTTTCCCAGACATTTGCGGGATCAGGGCAAGTGGGGGGGTCCCCGAATGTGGGAACCAAAGTCGGACTCCAGAAGGATGTGGAGCCCCCCACCACTGCTTCCGACCCCCTCCCCCAAATTATATAGTCAGATCAGGAGGTGTAGACCAGGTGGGGTGGGGTGGGGGTTGGGGGATGACCCCAGACCTCAATGGGGGAGCACCCCAATAGTTCTGCTTCATTCTCGAGGGGTCCGTGTGCCAAGAGAAGGCGGCCTCTGGTGGATTCAACTCTCTTACATCCGCAAAGGGCTGGAGGGGATGAGAGAGTCCAGCATCTTCCGGCCCTGCCTGCGTCCGACTGGGCCTTGGGTCAGAGAATAAACTGGGGATCTGTGTCCGGGTGTCCCTGCTGCCTGGGGCTCGCCCCACTCTCTCTATGTGTGGAGGCACACCCACTGGGCAGTGCTCCAGAGCCAGCTACCCAGGAGCGAAGAGGGTGACACAGGAGAGAGGCTTGCCTTCCCGCAGTACAATGTTTCCAACCAACTCAGTTCTAAAGGTCTCCAGACCCCACGTCCACATATCACAGCACCCCGCATTGCTGAGGGTGCCATCTTTCATCCTGAGTTTTGAGGTTCTTATATACATGAGAAGTCCCATGTCTTCTGTTCTCCGTGGAGGAGGGTGGCAGAGGCCAGATTCAGCGCCAACATCTCCAGATGTCTGGGGTGAAGGTAACAGCCATCTGAGGAACTAGGGTTTGTTAAGAATTATTTTAATTAACACAGAAATATTGAGCCTTAAGACTGGGCAATATCCTTCCCTGGAAAATCTAAATATATCACTTCTTCCAAGGATTTTTTTTTAGCTTTTTGGGTAATACCTAGCAATGCTCATGCGTCACTCCAGGCTCTGCACTCAGAAATTACTCCTGGTGGTACTTGCGGGACCATATGGGATGCCGGAGATTGGACACAAGTTGGCTGTATGCAAGGCAAACATCCTACCAGCTATACTGTAGCTCTGGCTCCGAGGGGTTTTTTTGAGGGGGAACTGTTTTGGTGTGTTCCAACAGGGTTCTGGGAAACACTGAGTACCTGGGATTGAACCTGGTTGGTTACAAGCAGGGTGAGATTGATGTAGGCAGGTAGATAGGGAAAGGCTCTCTGCAATGAAACAAAGTCTCCTAGAAGAATTCTAGGACCAACCCACCCTGTGGAGACAGAATAAGGACTTGATAAGACCATCCCCAGACCCTGAAGATATGGGCCTCCTCCCCATGAAATTCCTCCTTTCCGAGAACCCCCCTTTCAATCCGGTTGACTCCAGCGACCCAGCCCCAAGGAGATTCCAGGACATTCCAAGTCAGATGATTCTCGAACCCCCTTTCAATCCGATTAACTCCAGCGACCCAGCCCCAAGGAGATTCCAGGACATTCCAAGTCAGATGATTCTCGAACCCCCTTTCAATCTGGTTGACTCCAGTGACCCAGCCCCAAGGGGATTCCAGAACATTCCGAGTCAGAAGGATCTATAAGAACCAGCTTGAGAGCCCACTTGGCGCTCTCTCCACCCTCGGAGAAGCCCGCGTTCCCTCTGGACGCGTTACTCTCTCCCTCTCCAAAAGCCTCCAAATAAAACCT